CAAAAATCAATCCCTCAATCCCAGAATTAAGTCAACCCAATTACCTTTCAGATCATTGTTTTCAATGAACATTTTAAAATAAACTCTACACATGTAGCTTTAGAGGCATACATTCTTGTTTATAAATTGTTACCACTTATCCCCTTCTAAACTATTCTCAATTATACGTAATCTTCCTAACTATGTTAGCAAGAAAGGACTTGCTAACTCTGGCCTTGAGTCTCTATGGTTATAAACCAAAGGAAAAGTCATTACAGCATTAATTACATTTGAGGAACAAAGTTGGGACCAGAGAGCTAGGGGCTATGCCTTGTAAAGCTGCTGACTGCTTTAATGCCTACCACAGTACATGTTCTCAGAGCACTGCCAGCCCCCATGAGCACGACCACAGTGGCCCGGGTAAATCCCCAACACCTCAGGGTCACAGCAGTACATCTTCAAGACCCTCACATTGAACTACTGGCCAAGTTAGCCGAGAATTGCCAGAGGGCTCCTCTCCTGTCTCCTGGGCTCCACGAGGTAGTGCTTAATTAATTAAAACATTAACGTAACTTTAAAATAAAGTTAGAAGTCTGGCAAATGTCTCAAACTGAAGTGCATCCTCTGCATTTGGGAGTAAGGTTCATTCCTAGCACAGCACGGAATGAATAAAACAGAATTTCGGGAAATTAAAAATGACAGCTAATGCATTTAGTTGTTAAGGATCTTACCTATCCTTAGCTTTACACTCCTCTTCTTTCACTATAAAAATTTTTTCAGAGCCAGAGAGGTAGCTTAAGAGTCAGGGGCAACAAAGAGAGTAGCTTTAGAGGCATATATTCTTGTTTGTAAATTGGGTAAAGGTAAAGGTAAAGGCCCTCCCGTTGATCGTCGATTTGCTCGAGCGGGCCCAGTAACGTCTCCATTGGAGACTTTGTTGTTACTGTGTCTGGCATATCGAATACTCTCGGTAGCTTGCCGGTAAGACACTTGCCTTGCATGCGATCTCCGATGCCACAGCCCCCCAGGAGTAATCCCTGAGCACAAAGCAAAAATAAATCCTGAGCACTGCTGGGTGTGTCCCCCCCCCCCAAAAAAAAGAGTCTAGTTAGTTTGCATGTTTTGCATGCAGGAGACCCAGGTTAACTTCTCAGTACCACATGGTCCTCCATGCATCACAGTAAATAGCACCTGAGCATCCCCAGTTATGGCTCTCCTCTCTCAAATAAATAAATGAGGGGCCAGGGAGATAAGTCAAATAGCACGGCACACATCCAGAATGCGCCTGAATCCGTAGTATGGCCCATTCCAGGTATGGCCTCAGTGAACCCTGTGCACTATTTAAGAGAGAGAGAGAGAGAGAGAGCGCACACAATGGTTGAGATGCTTATTCAGTAGGCAGTCAACCCAGGTCCGATTCACAGCACTGCATATGGTGTCCCAAGTATCACCAAGTAATCCCCATGTAAGACGAGGGGTAAGCCCAGAGCAAAACCAGGTGTGGTCCTTTAGGACAAACAAAGAAAGAAATAAAGAAAGAAAGAAAACTGGACTGAGGTGATAGCTCAAAGTACTAACACACGTGGTTTGTAGGCTGGAGGCATCAACTCAATCCCGGGCACTGCAAGGTCCTGAGAGCACCACCAATCGCATGACCCAAAGCCAGGGGCTTGCATGCTAACAAGTGCTGATTCAGGTTCGATCCCTGGCATTCCATATATCCCCAAGCACCTCCAGGAATAATTCCTGAGTGCAGAGCCAGGAGTAAACTTTGGGTAACACAGGGTGTAAAAAAAAAAAAGAAAGAAAGAAACAAAACCAAATAAATACCAGTTACATACACTTCTACTATCTCAATCCATTAGAGATTAGAGGAATTGCTAAAATACTTTTATTTTTTTTGCCACACCCAGCAGGGCTCAGGGCTTATTCCTGGCTCTGTACTCAGGGATCACTCCTGGAGGGCTCGGAGACCACAGGGAATGCTGACTCAGACTGATTCCAGGTCGGCCACATCAAGGAAAGCACCTTTGCTTCTGTATTATCTCTCTAGTCCTGCTAAGGTACTTCTATGAACCAGAGCTTCAAGCATCTATTGGTTCAGTAAACCTAGTGTTTAGTAGATTGGGGTAGGGAGCCCCAAGCATGGCAAGTGACTGAACAACAGACAGAATCAATGTCAAAATCTAGGCTTTCCCTTTGCTCACAGTACTCCAAATGCTTTCCGGTGATTAGCTCTGAATCATTTTTTCCCCTAACTCTATACTGGAGATTTAGCACTACTATACCAATCAGGTTTTCCTATGTGCATCTTCAACTTAAGCACAAATACCTAAAACTCAAATAACTTCCCAAAAAATGCTTTGTGGGGGCAGGGGAGAGAGCTCACTGGTCAGAGGCACTTGCCTTGTCTGCAGAGAGATCCGAGTTCAAACCCCTGCACCTGTGAAGCTCCCCACAACACCAGCTGTGGCCTTGGAAACCCCAACTCTGCAGGGCAGAGAAGTTCAACAGGCCCAAACAGCAGACCATCCGATGTAGGCTGGCTGAATATTGCTCAGAGTGGCCCATGGGGGTGCCTTGAAGGTCTGCCCTCTCCCCAGCCCCATTTTTCTTAAATTATTTTGTGACTATTATTACTGAATTGATTTCACTCTACTAAACTGGAAGTTTCCAAAGGGCAGAAACTATGCCTTATTCCTTTCTGTATTAGCTGAAGTCAAGTACCACATACTTGAGAGGACACACACTTATTTCATTTATTTCTTTTGCAGTGCTAGGGATTGAACTCAGGGCTCCACACATGCAAGGCAAGTGAGTCACCACTGAGCATCCCTGGTCCTTGTTTCTTCATTTCTAAATCACAATGATAGAGAAATGGTTAAGAGGGAATAAAAATTGTTTCATAATTACAACTTTCCTGGGCTTTCAGAACTTAGAAATGAAAAAGAAAATGTTTTTAAAGTGGTGCCAGGAATTAAAGGATTAAACCCAGGTACTGGGAGCCAGAGTGATTTTACAGGGGGTAGGGCGGTTGCCCTGCACACTGCCAACCCAGGTGATCCCCCAGGCTGTCAGGAATAATTCCCGAGTGCAGAGCCAGAGTAACCCCTGAGCACTGCCACGTGTGTTCCCTTCCAAAAAATAAATAAAATAAAGGTATCGTGAACACATGGCACGTGCTTTACCCCCTAAGCTTCACTGTCAAAGGTGGGAGGCAGATGTCAATAATCTAGACAGGTAGTCTGGGCACTATCTCTTCTAATAGGTCTGAATTTTCTAAATGGAAGGTAATATACATATGTATAGCTTTATATAAAAACAAATACATGATATACATATAAATATATATGGGATTTTGTGGTCACATATCGTAGTGCTTGGGGGTTACTCCGAGGGGTGTTCAAGAGACCAGGGATTAAACCCGGTAGTCCTGCATGTAAAGCCTGCACTCAGCCTTCTGAATTATCTCTCGAATCCAGAAAAGTCATATAATGAACTCTACATAGCTGAAAAGTATTAAGCAAGTCTAATTATAGTTAATCATAAATGAGGAACTGAAACGCAGCTGCAATGTCCAATGTCATAAGTCCTACTTCCTTAAAAAAAAGAGGGAAAAAAAGGAATAGCTGAATCTGAGAAAATGTCTGTGAGACTTTCTATATTCTCCATCTACAGTTCCATTCGCTCTCTCCCGAGTTATTAAGGGGAACAAGGTAAGTTATCTGCACAACCTTACTTTACTAAGCCCTTTATCACTCCGTTGGTGGTATCTGGGTCACATGCCTGGAACAGAGGAGTTTCAGGTCCTCGGGAGCTAGTATAGGAAAGCATGGTGGAGCCACAAGAACTTATCTGAGATCAGGAATCTGGAGAAGACACATGACCGTCATTACCTATACTATCTTCACTATCAGGAGTTTCAGTCAACAGGAGGATGCCTATTGGGGGAGGGTGGGAGAGGGTCCGCGAGAGAAAGAGGACTTGAGGATGGGTCATTGAAAGTCGGTCAAGGGCAAGACAAAAGAGCCTATTTAAGACCAAGGGAGAACCAGAGGATCACTGTGAAGTCTTGCATGTTCTGAGCTCTCCAAACTGGAAGCCACGAGGGCAGACACAGCAGCTTAGAAAGGGGGCTGGGGGATGTTGCACATCACTGCTCCCTATTTGCTCCGTTAAATGCAAGTCCTAAGAAGGGTTCTGCGCGGATCTGCAAGCTTGGCAGCTCACAAGCTCGAAGCGGGTGGACTTGCGCGCTCCCCCAACACGGGAGAAAAGTCCGTGCCGTTTGAGGAAAGGACAAACCCTGCTTGCAGGGGACCTGTCCGCCAAGCAACTTCACAGGGCGGGGGCACGAGGGTCCCTGGCGTTGAGTCTGAAGCTGATTCCGACAGGCGCTTCCTGAACACTCGCTGCTGTGCCCGCCACCGCCCCGGGAAACTCAGCAGAGACGAACCGCGGGAAGCGGAAAGCAGGACCGGTCCGGTCCGTCGAGGATTCGGCGTGCAAGGGCGGAAGCGAACACGCCCAGCCCGGAGAGGAACCAGGGCTGGAAACGACTCATTCTGCATCACACAGACCCCGTCCCGGGCTGGGCCTCGCGGGGTGCTGCAGCTGATCCGCCAGGGTCGGTCCTCACGGGTCACTGCTTGGTGCACGGACAAGAGGAAGTCTCCAAATCGACCTCAGTGACTCATGCGAATCCCGAGACCGGCCCCTCCTCGGCAGTCCCCCGCCCCCCCGCCCCCGCCCATCCATTTCGAGAAGAGACTGACCCCGAATGCAAAAGGCCAACCACCCGGGCCGTCTGCGGGAGGGGAGAGGCCAGCTCCTAGAATGCAAAAAAAAAAAAAAAAAAGTTTCGAGTCCTGCCGGGATTCTGGGACGTGAAGAGGCCCGGAACGGCCGAGGGTCTGGACCCGGAAGTCGCGAAGAGGTCTGAGGAGAGACCGCCCCCCCCGCCCCCGTGCAACCATTCGCCCACCTCGCCTCACTCCTCACTCACTCCCTCACTCACTCACCCGCCGCTGGGCGAGAGGAAATCGGTGTCGTCCTCGTCCCCCGCACCGAACATCGCCCCCGCGGTCGCCCGGCTGCGGGAAGGAAGCCCGAGCCCGGCCCGGCCCTGCTGGACGTCGCGAAAGGCCGCGGCGACGTCCGCGCTTTCCGGCAGGGCGCACAGCGCAGGGCCGGCGAGCCGCGGGCGCGGGGGCGGAGCCGAGGCCGGGGCGGGGGGCGGGGAGGAGGGAGGAGGCGGGCCCAAGGCGAGTGGGAGGAGCTCGCGGGCGCGCGCCGCGTGACGTCAGGCCGCTCCCCGCGGGAGCTCCGGGAGCCCGCGCGGCGATTGGCCGGCGGCGCCGGGGGGCGTGGCGGGGGCGGGACCCGGAGGCCTAGGTGGCGGCGGCGGACACGTCGAGCCCCGCAGAAGGCGAGGGGCTCCGCGGGGTCTCGTGTCGGCCGCGGCTCGGGGTTCGGGGCGGAAGGCTCTCGCGGCGGCGCCCGATCTTGCTTCCCAGGTGAGGCTTCCGGCCCTGCCCTCCTCCTCGCGGCGCCCGGCCGCGGGGCCGGGTCCTGCTGCCCGGGGACGGGGACCCTCCTCGCCACCCTCCGCTCGGCCGCCGGAGGACGGGCCCGTGGCGAGGGGAGGGGAGGGGAGGGGGGTCAGGTCATCTGTGCACTGGAGCCTCCGAGTCCAGCACCCCCACGTGCAGTGGCAGCTTCGCCGTGACCTTGGGGGCCGGGCCTCAGTTTCCCAGGGCTGAGAAACGGTCCTGGGCGCCCCTCCCGCTTCTCTTCTTCTTCGCTTGATGGTTATTTACCGAGCGGGCCGGGGGTCCCAGGCCTTTTGCATGCACGGTCGGGTGAGGTCAGGAAGCTTCTTTTAAAAAAAATTTTTTTATTTTTTTAAGCAGCGCGGGGAGCCCTTGAGTTCCGTGCCCGTCGCCTCGGAGTCCCGGGCTCCCCCGGGAGGGAAGCGAAGGAGCGAGCGCGGGAGTGACAAGACGAGTCCGGGGTCACAGGGCAAAGGGCGAGGCTGCGGGCGCGCCCCCCGCGACCCGGGGGGACCTTGCCCTCCGTCGCCGCGCGCTGCTGCCGGGAGCGGTCGTGGACTGGCCCCGCCGGCCCGGGAGGGGAGCCCCTCGCGGGGTCCTCCCCGCCCCGAGATGTCGGGGGCTCCTTTGGGCGCGGGCGGGGGCAGGCAAGCGGAGGTCCCCGTCCCGGGTCCATGGGGAGCCGGGCAGTGTGTGTCCACGCTGGAAAACCCAGCCCCAGCCTCGGCCTGAGTTTTGCTTCACTTCCTGCCGCAGACCTAAATCAACAAGACTGTCCCCGGCCTTCAGTGTCCATCCACCCTTTCGCTGCCTTGTGTAAGTGTTGCTTGGTCCCCCCTTACGGTTCTCGGCAGGGTCTCCAGGCCTGGCCCAGACCAGGCGGAGGGTGAGAGGGTGAAGGTCCCACTCAGGCACACTTTTTCCAGGGAACTCTGGAGTCCTGCTTTACAGGCTTCTCCGCTTGGGACGAGCCCGGCCTCTTATCTAATGTTTTTATTTTTGTCGCTATGAAATTGAAGGGACTCTTGGTTCCCTCCCAGACAGTTTTATACTTTTGTGCACTTTGTCCAGCCTGGCTTGTGCATCGCTGGTAAATGCTAAGGGCCGCCTGGAAAGGAGCTTTTAACTTTCATCCAGGGAAGCGAAAGCTGTGCTTTGGGCCGGGGAGCTGCCCCCAGCCCTTTGAGCTCTCAGTCTGGCCCCAGGAGCTTACATTCTTATTCATATCTTGGTTTCTGCAATGCTAAAGACACTTGGCTTTCTTGCCCTAATGGGTGCCTGTTGATTCTTTGTTAGAAGGGTAATGGAATTCATCCTGTTCTCTTGTTCTCTTAGCTTTCTCTCCTTGCTTTTTATCTTTTTCTTCCCCCATGTGACCCAGAAAACCTCGCAGTAGCCCTTGCCGGTCATCGGTATCTTCCAGCCAGAAAAATTCAGAAATGCTGTACCCGTTACAGACTATATGGATTTTGTTTAAAAAGCTCTAGGGAAGGGGGGACAAGGGAAATAGGCTATCTAGGAGTATACAGAGCACTCATTTTCTTGGTTTCTCCGTGTTTGCTTTTTGATTTGGGGCCACTCCGAGCGGTGCTCAGAGCTTACTCCTGGTTTGCACCCAGGAATCATTCCTGACAGCGCTCATTGGCCATATGGGATACCAGGAATCGAACTCCAGCCGCTCATTTTCTTTATTAGAATTTTCCTCTAGACTGAGGATCGGGGCTGCTCTCTTTGGTTTACTTTTGCCATTTCCTGTGGTTGAGGAGTGAGAGCCGACCGTGTCAAAGCAATGATGCATCTAATGACTACAAGTGGGCCACATAACAGTCCGTTGAATTTAGGACCAAAGAGGTAGCTCAGTGGACTGGGAGCATACTTTACATGCAGGAAATCCAGATTTAATCCCGAGCACTCCTAGGAATAGCCCTTGAGCACTGCTGGGTGTGCCCAAAGAAAGAATGTGAATTTGGCCACTTTGGGAAGAGGAGGAGGAGGAGGAGGGGCGCCCAAAAAGAAACATAGCTCAGGGGCTGAAGAGATAGGGGCAGGGTTAAGGCTTTGCATACTGTGGACCTTGTTTTGATCCCTATATCACATGCCATTCCCCAAGCTCCACCAACAGTAAGTCCTGAGCACTGTTAGGTGTGGCTTCAAATCCCCCAAAACTTAGCTCAGTTTCTACCTCCCTTCCCCAGCACATTCTCAAAATGGCCCTGGGTTGTGTTGCAGTAATAGAGCACATACCTAGATGGATGAGGTTTAGGATTGCTCCTGGCACCAAAACAACCTCAATCATTAGACCTTTGTGTTTCTTTTCATTTTTTTGTGGCACAGGGGATCAGATTAGGCTACCTGCTTGCAAGGTTACAAGCACTTAGCCTAGATCTAGACCTTACATTCAGACAGGGCTATGTTTTCCCTTTTATTCTTATCTTACACTCATGAGTGGGGGCTTTAGATGAGCTGGAATCCTAAAGTCTGAATCAACCTTTTTTGGATACTGAAACACCGTAGGAAAAAATGCTGTCAGGTTCATCACTGCCAAAAGGCTGGATGGAAGCCCTTAGTAGGAGTAAGCGGAGGGAGCCTGGAGGAGGCACTGACCCCCTGTGACAACTTCAGGGTCAGATAAGGGCACAGCAGGAGGCTCCATCTTCCTTCCGTGGTAAGACTGGCCCACCCTCCAGTAGAGGTCAAAGTCCTTTCCGCCTGGACCAAGCCCCTCCATTCTTGGCTTAAGCTTTATTTTAGGTGAGAAAGAAAAGCTGTCTGCAAACTTGAACTTTCGGCTTGCCTCTACAGTGACTTACCACAGTTAGTTACAGTAAATAAAGTTTTATTGGAACACGATGACACCCAGTTACTTTAAGATTGATGGGGTGGTGGGGGCCAGTGAGATAGTACCACCCAGTAGGGCACTTGCCTTGCCCGCGCCTAACCCAGGAGCTGGATTCGACCCCTGCCCAGTTGTGACAAAAAAGTAAGTAAATGAAAGAAATTACAAGGCAGCATCAGCTATATAGCTCGGCTCACAATTGCCTTGCATATGTGAGGCCTTGCTTTGATCCCTGGCTGACAAAAATAGAAGAAGAGGGTTGAAGAGATAGTACAGGGCTTAAGGTGTGTGTAAGACAAGCAGTCTGGCACCATCCATGGCCCCCTGAGCACAATAAGGTGTGGCTCACCCACCTTCAAATATAATAAAGTCAGGGAAAAGACGGAAAAAAGCAGCTTGGTTTTACAGAATCGAGTTATAAACAGGCCGAATAGCGTAATTGAGGACTTTGGTATGAAGAGGTGAATTGTTTGGTTTTTTGTTTGTTTTGGCTTTTGGGCCACACTTGGCAAGGTTTGAAGGGTCTTTCCTAGCAATTTTCCGGGGCTGAAGCCAGAGCTCCCACATGCAAAGCGCATGGCTTCATCTCTTGGAATAATTTTCCTGGTCCCAGTAGTTTTCGTTTGTTTGCTGGGGGGGAGAGGGAGGGAGATACACCCAGCCATGCTCAGGGCTTGCTCCTGGCTCTGTGCCAGGGGTCACTCCTGTTGGGTTCAGGGAACCATATGGGGTACCAGGAATCGAACCTGGGGCAGCCGCATGCAAGGCTAAGTTCTTTCCCTCTGAACTAGATCTCTGGCCCCTGGCCCCAGTAGTTAAACTCTGGAAGACAGCAGGGAGATGGCTCAAGGGGAGGGACACATGCCTTGCAATAACTGAGACCCTAATGTCAGCCCAGCACTTCATAGGTCCAAGAGCATCACCAGGTCCCTATAAAAATTTTTTACTTTGGCGTTGAATTGCTTTGCCATTTCTTGTTCAAGTTTTTGCAAATTGCTCAATATTCCTTTGAGAAATAAGAACATTACTTAGTCATAGGATTCTTTGGGGGAGAGGGGCAGTGTACACCCAGTGGTACTTGAAGGCTACTCCCGGTGCAGTGTTTAAGGACTGCTTAAGGGACCTAGAGATCCAAAGGACATCTCCCCTTCCCCAGCATTCTCTTAGAAAGGGAATGAGTTATTTGTGTGAAGTACTTAGAATAATGCCTGGAAGGTAGTAGAATTTGGTGTTAGCTGGTGCTTTCATTAAGTTTACAAGCTTGCATTCTTTTCTGTGGTTTGGTTTTTTGAGTTTGGTTTATGGACTGCACCTGGTGGTGCCTGGCGATTGCTTCCAGCTCTGCTCCGTGTTCCTGCCAGCAAGGAGGACCTAGAGCTTACTTATTCGGTGAACAAAGATAACTGACATCTTTGATAAAACAAGCCAACTTACTGGGCGAAAGCAGAACTAGGGTGTATCTGATGAATGGTGTGAGAGAATTTTTGAGGGCAAGTTTGCTAAGCGTATACGGCAACACTACCCATAGGGAAATTGTTGCTTAAAATTGAACGGTATGGTTCTGGAGAGCTGGGGAGCTCTAAGGGCTAAAATGCATTGTAGGAGGCCAGGTTCAGTCCCAGGCACCTCTAGGTGTGACCCAAAAACAAAGATCCACGTTTGGACTTTGCTTAGTAAGAAATGGATTTTTTTATTCTAAGTGCGCACTTTACCTGCTGTACTCTTCATCCCCTCAATCTTAGTTTTCTTTAGATGGTCTCAGGCTAAAGTGGAGTAATGCAAAGGTTCTAGACTGAATGAAACAAACAAAAACAAAGCAAACATTGTCCTCCCGTTGTTCATCGATTTGCTTGAGCGGGCCCAGTAACGTCTCAATTTTTGTTCCTGTGTTTGGCATATTGAATACGTCACGGGTCTCGGAGAGCCCTGTTGGCTGCGCACAAGGCAACGCCCTACCGCTGTGCTATCGCTCCAGCCCAGACTGAATGAAAATACAATGAAATTATTATTCTAATGCATTAATTTATATGTATATTTGTATATACAACCAGGGATGGATGGATTGACGATGCCATATTCTTAGAACTCTGATGCTCTTCCCTTGGTCCTACTTGATTCTTCTGTTGAT